CCTCAGCCGGTTTCCCTCCCCACCACCAATGGGGGCGGTCAAAGGGAAACTAATTCCCGGTTTCGCGCGGCCCAAACCGGGAGGGGTTTCACCCCCCCTACCCCCCATTCCAACTATCTATTTCTGCTACGACTACGACGACGGCTACTACTACTGATACTACTACTACTACTACTACTACTACTACTACTACTACTACTACTGCTACTACTACTACTACTACTACTGCTACTGCGACTGCTACTGCTACGACTACTACTACTACTACTACTACTACTACTACTACTACTACTACGACTAACTACTACTACCGCTGCTTCTCACATTCCCACTCTTGCTCCTACTGCTACTATTACTACTACTACTGCTATACTACTACTATTACGACTCCTACCTCCTACTGCCACTACTGCTGCTATTTCGATTACTACTATTCAACTACAATTAACTTCTAATATTGTTTCTACGACTTTACTGTTACTACTGCTGCTGCTGCTACTTATATTAACAAAAACATAATACGAATGCTAGTCCTAGTGCTACTCCTACTACTGCTAGTACTACCAGGACTAGTACTAGTACATGCATGTACAACGACTACTACTCCTACGTACTACTACTCTTGGTGCTGCTACTACTATTACTACTAGCACAACTCAAGCAGGGTGGTCGCACCATCGTGAGAATCGAGGTGCTTCAAGACCAAGCGGCCCATGCCTGCAGGATAGGTTGTTTGGAAGCACGACGCAACTGAACTTGAGACAATAGTGTGTTTTTCTAAGATGGTTTTGTTCTGCACCCGGAATGTTTGGGGGCGGATGGAAAGGAACATGCAGCAACAACTCGTTCCTGCATTTGACACCACGCACTATCAGACTGCCGCCGATTCATAATCTTGCTGCAGTGGATCCTGCAGGCAACACGAAACGGCACATTACGAATTGCTGTGCAGCTTTGCATCATTCGTTTGGCTTTGGCAGCCCTGAATTACTTGCATTTCAACCATTGAAAAACTGGTGACAAATCGGCGTCACGTGTCCACTGGCGCAGCTGCTTCTGATCTTTACGGAAGTTCACCGAAGATGAACCACTCGCCTTTTTCTTGGCCGTCTTCAGAAACTTAGTGGCTCGGTTACGAACAGCTTTGCGCTTTGAGCTGCGCAACATCGCCAGCGCAGTGCCAAACCTGAGCAGAAATTGTAATAGCAGGTAGTAGTAGTAGTAGTAGTAGTAGTAGTAGTAGTAGTAGTAGTAGTAGTAGTAGTAGTAGTAGTAGTAGTAGTAGTATACTATAGTAGTAGTAGTGGTAGTAGTAGTAGTAGTAGCAGTAGCAGTAGTAGCAGTAGTAGCAGTAGTAGTAGTAGCAGCTTTTGCAGTTCAGGTACGGTTCTGGGTATGCCTGCGAGCCCTTCAAATCGGACCCTCCAGTCACACGGTCTGTGCCATCAGCATCCCTGGTACGTGTCACCATATGTACGTGCTCGTCTGGCTCCTTCACGTAAAGAGGCTTGAAGCGGTGGATCTCATCGATGAATTTGTGACCTCAAAATCCCACCCCACCCACCCTTCCAACCCCTACCCACCCCAACCCACCCCACCCATTCTACGTTAGCCAAACCGACAGACCCCACAACAGCAGCATGTTATTCAAATTGACTCAACAATTAGGACCCACGCTGGAATACAACCAGGTGCCCTTGTCCGTCGGGCCCCCAAAGTCACGCATCGAGATGTTGCCTTTAAACCACCGCAACTTCTTGAACACTTTCTGCATCGCTGGATGCATCTCCATCAAGCTGCCCCGAGGCTGTTCCATCACTACATGGATCTTCTTTGCATATGCCAAAAACAGCAACAGAGCTACTCGAGCGACCATGCGATTTCCTTCGTCGACAGAATCGAATTCGGCACGGCCGAGAGGTCGGGCCTTGCTTCGTCCTGTCGATGCTCTGGACCTGATGCTCAGGATGCTTACACGTTTCCCGTCAGTGCTGTATTGCATCTACTCCAACATATCAGATGCAGCCGAAACACAAAAAGATCCATGTCGAACAAACTGGTGCCAGGGTCAAAAATGACCCTGGCACCAAGTTCAACACCTGAAAAAGGGCATGCGCGTACCCCTGTGGGGATAGAATGTCCATCCATGCCCCGTCGTAGGCAATGTCGTATGCCACACAGCTTCGCTTTTCCTATACAGGGCGGGATTTCTTGCAATGAACACGAGCGCATAAAAAACACTGTATGCATGCATGAGAGCATAGCCTGCATCTCAGCTCGGGTAACACTCATCGCCCCAGAAAAGAATTCAACGTGCTCCTTTGGATGATTCCATTCCAAACCAGGAAGCTCGAAGACCATGTTGGCCAGCACACAGCAAACCTGTATCGGCAG